TATATGGGATCAAGCTGCCTGTGCACCCTAAATCTTTAAGGGTTCCATAAAGTTTGGCCCAAATGCAATGTGGGTCCTTTAAAGGATATATTTGGGTCCCATAAGGTTTTAATTGTGGTTTCATTTGGGACCCATATGGGTTTATCCAAGTTAATTCATGGGGCCATTGTGGGCTCTATCTGGGTTTTTGAGGGGTTGAATGGGGGTTGGAATGTAAGGGGCCCCTATAAGTTGGCCCATATGGGAAAGAGCTGCCTGTGCACCCTAAATCTATATGGGTCCCATAAGGTTGGCCCAAATTAATTTATGGGCCCTTCAAAGAATATATTTGGGCCTCTTAGGTTTGCATTATGGTTTCATTTGGGACCCATATGGGTTTTACCAAATTAATTCATGGTGCCTTTTTGGGCTATATCTGGGTTTTTTGAGGATTGAAATGTAAGGGGCGACTATAAATTGGCCCATACGGGAATGAGCTGCCTGTGCACCCAAAATCCATAAGGGTCCCATAAAATTCATGGGCCCGTTAAAGGATATATTTGGGCCCCTTAAGTTTGCATTATGATTTTATTCGGGACGATTTTGGGTTTTGTCCAAAATAATTTACGGGCCCGTGCTTGGCAATATCTGGTTTTTTTCAGGGCTGAATAGGAATTGAAATGTAAGGGGGGGGGGGCACTAACATTTGTTAGGTACTCTATTCAACTGGTCCAAGTTCCAAATGGTCTTTAGCTGGTCCCAGATCGAACTTGTCTTCAGCTGCTGGTCCCAGTTCTATCTGGTCTTCAATTGGTCCCAGCTCCTTGTAAAATAACAATGGCCTTTAATGACTCCTGTAGACCTACAAAATACACTGAGTTTAAGATATACAAACCATAATTTATTTAATTAAAACATCAGCTGTACTTCATGGGGTAGGCACTTGCATACCCCTTCACATATCATTTGGCTTAAGCCTTTACTGCTACGCTCACAGTCCTGTTTATATCAGCATTTTTTGTCGATAATTATAAGGCTATTATATTAAAGCATCACTAGAGTTTATAATATAGTACCATATTCAAGAATCGTTAGGGTCAGGCGTGCATATAAACCAACATTCTTTGTGTATTGAAGCAGCATCTCTCCATAACTATGCATTTTCTTCTCTGATGACAAGGTAAATGAAGAATCTTACTAAAATTTAAGATAGTATGAATTCTGCAATTGAACAAATCAAGTTCGAAATATTGAATCACAATGGCTTGTTGTCATTAACTGTTTTTGGATTCCACAATTGCTGAAAGATAAAAAAAAAAAATCTTTAAAACAGAGCTGAGAGAAATATGCATTTCGAAGATGCATTTCATAGTCCTTGGCATTTCGAAAAAAAGTGGTTGAAAAAAAAAATCAGGGGCAGGAGAAAATTCTGTCATTTAAATATGCAAAATGCTATTTTTGTTGAAATTGTACTTTAATAAGGCCTATTTATACTGCAACGATAACGGAAAAAAGTGATTGTTCATCTAGAAAATAAAAGAAATAAGAAAATTTTTTACACCAGGACGATTCAATAAAGATTTATCGTGTATACGATAACAAAATATCTTAACAAATCAAACCAGATGACGTCATAATCCTGGAAAACGATAAAATCGTTGCTAATACTACGATTTTAATGTTTTTCCATGACTATGACGTCATCTGATTTGATTTGTGAAAATATGTTGTTATTGCATAACTAACGAATCGTTCTAGTGTAAAAACTTCTCATTATTTTTTAAATTTTTTATACAAACCATTGCTTTTTAGCTTTTTTTTTTTTTTTATCATTATCGTTATCAGTGAAGTATAAACAGGCCTTAAGGTGATTTTGCTGTCTCTATCTTTAGAATGAATTAGTAGTAAATGTACAGTACATAAAATATTCTTAACTCAAATCTAAATCTGTTATTTCCCTTCAAAATCAAGGTTATTAAAATAAGAGTACGATATACATAATGTACTGTAGCTAAGATAATACACTAGCAGTTTTTTTTATTTTATCAAGTGAATTATCAGTTCCAATCCTGTTTCTTTTTTTTTTTTAGTTTTCAAAACAGCTTCAAATTAAATGCTGTGCATTAAAATCTAAACAAAACATTTTATTCACCTTTGAAAGTCAGGCAATCTTCTGTTTCCGCAACTGCCACAATATGGCTTCAAACAAATATCACTTTACTGAGAGACCTGCTGAGACTGAGTGACCAACATCTTCTGAAAACGGGCAAAAGTTATTAATAATAGTGATTAAGCCCTAGACCTATATACAGTAACTGTCACCAACAATACTAAAGGTTTATCCCTCAACCCATTGTTTCATTATATAGCATGGACTATAATAAGTGAGAGCACAGCCTAATTTACCAATAGCTTAACTACGGGGCAAGGCTACAGTCTGGGCAGTCCGACATTATTACTCCAATAATTACTCAATGATACAGAATTACCTAAATGATACCGCAATTATTTTATATTACTATTACATATCATATCTTGTTATTATTATTATTTTATTATTATTATAATCAGTATTATTATTGTATCTACTTTTATTTTAATACTATCATTATTACATTTAAAAAAAAATCGTATTACTTCTATTACTGTTAACACTACAGCCAACCCCTGTATAGGGGACGGGGACACTTTCTAAGTGTGCCAAATGGGCAAACAACCCCTATTAAAAGTTTTTTTTCATTGTTATCACAACATCTACAACACTCTAACACATTGCACGTGTTACCCCGTAAACCAATTTTGACTCTTAACAATTAAGATTTCTTTTTCATTGTGTTTTGTGTATTTCATATAGTTTAATCAATATCGAAACATAGTACTCTATTCATGCTATATCCATCTAAAATGTGAGTATTGTTATTTGTAAATAAACCAGTCTTTGTTACCTTTTCAGTACAATTCACATACACATTGTATATATATATATATATATATATATATATATATATATATTATATGATGTCATTGTTTTAGGTAATAAACGTGGGATAAGTTAGCCATGGTACATTCCTGACTTGTTTGTCATCTAAGTTCCTGGTACCGTAAAGAAACAGGTTGCTGTCCTTAGTTGACCTTAATGCTGAATATAGTAAAATATATCGAAAAAGGTTTATAAATGAAATATAAGATTACATACAAATTAAATATTTCGGTTTAAATACAAATTGTAGAGACGCTACACATACATATATTTATCACCTTATACTATTTCAAACCATATGAAATTATTTGATTATTTATAGAAAGCTCAATGAAAAAAGATTAATTAGTCATTAACATTGCATAGTTAAAGGATATTGGGAATATATTAACTATTGTTGTTTTAATTACATTTCTGCTGATTTCATAATATAGATTAATTGTATTTGCATTGCAAATTATTGCTATAAATTCTTACTCTACTCCAACTGATAAAATAAAATTATAAAGAATGTATGTCATATGAATTCATGCCAAAAACCCTCTATTAAGGGGAAAATTTTAATATTTTTGGTTAGTGTCCCCAGATTTATAGGGGTACCTCTATTCAGGGACACCCCTATGGGTTGTACTGTATACAGTAAAACAACATCACATACACGAATATTAGGGATTTATTAGGATTCAAATACACACAAGTTTGTTTTTGATATTACCATACCGTCTTCAAATTCACAACGGGAAAGTTTAAAAGTTAACTGTAAGCCTACACTGATATATTAGGCTGGCTACCCCAGCAGGGTTTGTTTTTTAAATTTCAGGGGCATTCCACAGTATTTGGTCTGTGAGAGTTACATCTTTATTTATAATTAATATTGTACGTAACGTCCGTCTGAGCCGGCGGTGCAGGTTTTTCAACGAACACGATCCGTCCAGCGTTGTCTTGAAGGTTTGCACGGACGGAGTTTCGAATGCGCACTCTCGGACGTCATCGCGAACGCGATCTTCTTCGTCGTCTTGCAGTTCGTCGCTGGGCACTCCGGACTTATCGAATATCACGTTGAAGGAGATCTTCTTGTTGGCGGATTTCGGTTTGTGGACGTGTATGGCCATTCCCGTCGTCGCGGCGAGCCCCTCCAGTTTCGTGAGATCGACCTCGGTCCTGCCGTCCGTGACCAACGTTCCTCCGAACATGTCGTCGTCTATCGTGACCGGTTCGACGCTCCGACAGTGCAAACCCGGAGGTAACGAAGCGACGAACGATCTCCACGCGTTCATCAAGAATTTTTAGCTACCCTGATAGGTAACTCGTATTCCGAATCTCCGGATATCACGTTCGTTCTGATAGATCTGCCGGCCGGCAACACGACGCACGTCTTGCCCTGTTGTTGGAAAACTATGGATAGTAGTGTGAAAAGGATCACCGCGGAGAGCAAAACGTTCATCTCGGACGTGCACACGTTAAGCGAACGCGACGCTAATGTTCCTCGACTCGAGGGAGTACGTTCGCCACGTGGCGAACTGGACGACACTTGCATGC